CCATTTTAACGGGTGGTCATAAATCGCGATTTTCTTGAAAATAAAAAGAAAAAAATCCAAATAACCTTTACCCGTGTTATTGCCATACCATAAGGACTCTATTGGAGAAGTTTGAGCGAAATCGAATTTTCAGCCGTTGCCAAGTATTTTTGACTTTGTTTGATTTTTCCAGACATCGGCTCTTAAAGATTTCCCTGGCTCCACACTCAAATCAAATATCTCCTCAACCTCCTCCGATTTATTTTTTGGGGCATCACCACATGTTTTTTTGTCTTTCTTTTTTTTATCTTTTTTTACACTTGATTTAGCAGCATGTTTTTGAATATTTTCTTTTTCCACTTTCTGCTCTTCAGAGATATCTAAGAATTTATCAATGGTAAATGCAATTAAATCACCAATATTTTGATTATTAGACCTTGAAAGTCCTATAAGCCTAACGATTGGTCGGCAGTTAATCTTTCTAATTTAAAATTTTCATGATTAGAATTAACAGCAAAGTGAAGTGAAGCTATTATCAAACTTATAATCATTAGTAATTTATATTTTCAGCAGCACCATTAACTTACCTTCTGGTTTGGATTTCGAAGCTTTAATCTTACGCTTCGATGATTGTTCTGTCTCCACACCGATATCATCAATGTCCTGCAAGATTTTGATTTAATTTGTGCATTAGTTACAAAACTACTAAAACGGAAGTTTTCCAAGGATTCGATTAGTGCTACTAATCCTATTTCAATTCTGAATAATAAATTTGATTCCTAAAACATATCAGTACAAAGCCAAGTCAATGAAAAAGCGCGGGAATTTGTCCGCGCCAAAAATCTGAGTAATTAAATAATACAATAGTATTTCATTTGTATTTAGTGTTGCACTCAGTTCACTCGCTTCATGAAAACAAGATGCATTTTAAGATAAATATCTTTAAATACAAAATGTATCTAAAAGACTTATTGACTGTGCTCATGACAAGCGTTAGCGAGCTCTTTCAAAATGACTGACATTTTTATCGACGTATTTTAATTAAGCTTTTAAAAGTCGGTCCTTTTGCGCACACGAGACACGTTAAAAGACTTATTCACTGTGCTCATGACAAGCCTTAGCGAGCTCTTTCAAAATGATAATTTATTTCAAACTTGAAATGCTTAGGATGTTGGACTAGCCAGACAACAAAATCTTATTAGTAACTTAATGATTCAGTTCAAATGGTGCGGTTAAAACAACTGTCACTACAATCAAGTAAGAGTGACTGCTTTATTTGCTCAAAGAATATTGATCGAAGTCAACAATGCCTTTTCCATTATATGTTATCAAAAGACAGCCGAAATTGTTTTAACAGTACCTCTAAATGCTCTGCTTGTGAGTCGACATCAACTACATCTTCAGTATTTTTGTTGACTTCATCGCATGTTTTTTTATTTTTCTTCTTTTCTTTCTTTGCATCAGCATGTTTTTTAGCATTCTCGTTTTCTTTTCCCTGCTCATTCGGCTCCTCAGAGATATCTAAAAAGTTATCAATGGCAAATGAAATTAAATCACCAATTATTCGATTACTTTAATAGATCTTGAGAGTCCTACCTAACAACTGATTGTAATCGATCTTCTTCCTTGCCCTGCCATGCTTAGACTTTGCCATGGATTCTGGGGTTGAGCTTTGGTCACGGTCAAGGGACTTGTCCAAAATTTCAATCAACTGCTCGGCACGTTTTTCTCCTAATAAGTTGAATTTTATTTAAAGTTTGAATTTTGATTTCTTAATATACCAATCAACTTACCTGCCTCGTCTATCAGCCTGCAAGATTTTGCACACAATTCACTTAAGGGCTGCTCGCAAGCTGAAAATCATTGAGAGAAACAAGAAACTAGATGAGAAATCCATGTTTAAGGTATTTAGTTTACTAATTAGTCAATACTAAACGTTCAATAATCAGAAAAAGTATTAATCCACTAATCAGACTTACTGTTAGTCCGCAAGATCCTTGCTAAGAATATTTCTTTGCCACTTTTAACTTCTACATCATTTCCAGATTCGAATTGTTTGCGAAGAACGCATATCGATTTTTTAACAACTACAACCTTAGAATCTGAATAGAATAAAACAAGTCCAAACTTCGCCATTTTCCAAAACTTTGAATATATTTAACAAACGTTTCAAGTGCCTAGAACGAACGGATCCGAAAATTGGTGCCAAGTGAAAAATTTTGAATTGGGTATCATTTTTCGTCAGATAGCTAGGTGACCCACGTGATTTCTTATACCCAATAGTAAAACTTGAAAGCCTGAAGTCTGTCACTCAAGGTACAAAGCAATGACATAATTAGTTTATCACTGAAATACCAAAATTGTTGAAGGCACCTTGATATCTATTAATCTAATGTTCTTGTACACGAAGTAAAATCATATTGAACACACGGTCTCTTTACTATTAACTTTCGTTTTATGCACCTTTCGATGTCTTCCAAACCACGTGTACTGAGATATGATCATTGCGTTCAAATCAAAACAATTGACCACTATTCTAAAAGGCTGTTTGCTTTCATGTCAAAAAGTGTCCTGATTGTTGGCTTAAATTGGATTCAATTATCTTTGAACATGATAAAGGTCAAACAAAATAACCGCTTGTCAAAACGGAATTTTTGTGAAGACTTGAAGTTCATGTCGTGAAAATTTGGCTTTGTGTGAGCCGCTTAGTTGCTCTCAGACTTGAAGTGCAAAATAGCTCAGAACGAACTACGAACGATAACTTACCATGTAAAAGAAATTACTGTACGCTACTTTTTGCATTTTAATTAGCGGCGGTACTTAACCTTTGAAGTATTGATAATGAGATAAGACCAAGAAGATGTTTGAGCCTTTGAGTGACTTTATTTGCTTGTACTTGTAATTACTTTGCGAACTGTCTAGAGATTACTTGAAAAGAAACTAAAAAGAAACTAGCTAGCAAGTTAATTTGGCTTTAAAGTGTTTTTTAAAGCGACAAGGATTTACTAATGGAACGTCATTTCTCTAACAAGGTGCCTTCAGATTGATTCTCAGCCACACGTGTGCCGCCGCACCATTACAAGCCCGCCAAAATTGTTAAACGTCAATCAAATTGTGTTGTCAGTGTTTTTGCAAAAAAAAACATAAAAAAGTCATATGCAGTGATTTGGGTGAGGTAAATTTTCCATTTCGCAATTTACGTCTTTAGTCATTTGATGATCGGTTTTGTCTTTCGAAGAGAGGTTTTTCAGGGTACAAATGATAGCGACATTGTTTTCAGCAAAGCAAATATTTGCAACCAACTGATAAGCCGCGATACTGCAAGGCATATAACTTTCATTTTATTTTGACYGCATGGTTTATTGCTTCTTGCTCCAAGCCAACCGATGAAAAATGAGTGATCCAAAAGCGAAGAGGAAAAAGCGTGKGCGATATCGAAGCTATTTGCACRAAGATATTTCTCCATCTAAAGTTCCTAAACGAACAAAGAGACGATACAAAGAAAATTCAGGAGGTAGTCCGAGTGACATTTAYACTGRAAAAACAGATCMCACAATTGTATCGCATGAAGAATATTCTTTACTGGAMACAACTGTCGATTACAATGTTGCTTCGTCTTTAAAYACACAAGAAACTAGTGAACCAGAAGACGAGTTGGCAAGCGAAACTGTTTACTTGAATGGCGAACTGGGTGAAGAGYCCGCYTCAATRGGAATCAGTCCTATCAACGAATTTCTAAGTGATGAAGACTGGGATAAGTTCGGTAATGCTGTTTTCGATACAGATATAGAAAATAATGAAGAGAAAGGAGAAAAAGATGAAGCAGAAAGCGATGAATTTGTGCTGGATGAAATAATTGACAATCATTGCGACGACTATGAAGAGAAAGATCAATCTACAGATCCTCCGTTGTATAATGGCAGTGCATTAACGGTTAGCATGYATGTAATTGCTATTTTGACTTTCGCAATGGCTCAAAGTCTTACAGCAACTGCTATGGCTCATCTACTTGTGCTAATATATCTTCACTGTCCAACACCAAATRATTGCGYCAAATCGATGCACATGCTTTGGAACCATTTCMGATCTGTTAAGGCTCCCATTGAGTGGCATTATCTCTGCTCTCGATGCAAAACATACATTGGCAAAGATAAACCTTTACCATCTGAAGAGTGCTGCAATTGCAAGGGTAGCTTTAAGGATGGAAAATTTGAGTCATGGGAAACTTATTACTTTTCCAATAACATGCCAATTAAAGTCAATGCTAGAAACCACTTCTTTTGTCGAAGCTTTAACAACATATCGTTTTGAGCACAACAAAAGCAAACTGAAACGGAATGTGACTGATAATATCGAAGATATTATTGATGGTCAAAATTATCAAACATTTTTCAAACATCCTGATGGCTTTTTGAGAAATCCTAACAACATGTCTTTTCAACTTAACACAGATRGGGTGGCATTGTTTAAGTCCTCGACTTTCAGCATATGGCCTGTATATTTAGTAATATGTGACTTGCCACCAAAGCTAAGATATTCAAGAAAGTATCGGCTATTTGCGGGCTTGTGGTTTGGTTACACAAAACCAATTTTTTCGACCTTCCTGAGACCATTTAAAGATATGTTCCAGCAATTGTACGTTGAAGGATTTAAGACTTTGAAATCAAAGGATTCAGATGTTGAGTTAACATGGCGCGGCATAGTCATCAGCAGCAGTATGGAYGCACCAGCAAAATGTTTGTACATGTGTATGAAGCAATTCAATGGGGAGTGTGGTTGTCCGTATTGCAARGCAAAAGGTAAAAACTTACGGACAGAGCAAAAAGGCAACTGCAGGATTTATCCTTACATAAATGTGCAAAATAGACAAACCGAAGCACCKTTAAGAGATCATAAGGACTTTCTCCACGAAGCAAAAAAGGCAAGAGATAGAAAAATGGCTGGAGAACCAAATCCAGAGATAAAHGGTGTACGAAGTGCAAGTATTGCTTTCGGATTTCCAGGTTATGACATTGTAGCAGGAACAGCAATTGATTACATGYACACTGTTTTGCTGGGAATAATGAAACAATTACTCACATATTGGTTTRACAAAAAGCACCGTAAAAGTATGTGGTATTGCGGAAAAAGCATCAAAACATGTGATYATCGCAGAGCAAACATTAAGCCCCCAAGCCAGGTGAGCCGCATTCCACGAAGTCTTGAGGAGCGAGGACACTATAAAGCTTCTGAGTTGAGAACATGGCTTTTGTATTACTCTCTTCCAGTGATGCAAGGTATACTTCCAGAAACTCACTACCAACATTTAATGCTGCTGATTTGTGCAATATATATTCTCTTGAAACAATCTATTTCACCACAAGATCTCAAGAAAGCTCGATTACTTTTGGAACATTTTTGTCTACGAGCTTCATCCATGTATAAYGAGCGGTTTCAAACTTTTAACTTACATCAGCTACTACACCTAACGGATTGTGTTAAAAATAATGGACCTCTTTGGGCATGCTCATGTTTTTTTTATGAGGACTTAAATGGAGACTTGCGAAGCCTTTTCCATGGTTCTCAGAATGTGGAAGAACAAATCATTCGTTCTGTGGCAGCCCTTCAACATATACCAGAGATTATGGAAAAAATGCAAGAGTCACAAGTAAAACAATATTGCCGGTCAATGACCAAGAAAGATGTTGGTTACGTCACTGACATAATTGATGAGAAATCCAAAATATATGTCATTGGCTGWTTAAAATCATTACAAATCACTAATTCTGATGAAATTGATCAGCTTCAAATTGCAGCAATGAACACTGCCATATTTGACATTGAATATCGAATATTCTATCGCCTTAAAATTGATAAAGACATTGTACATAGCAAAGGATATCAGAGAGTAACAAAAAGAGATTCAACAGTGGTTGAGTTCAATAAGGAAGATGATTCAACATCATATGGCTCAGTAAAATATTTTGTTGAGTTCAAAACGGAATGTTCCAGTGCAATGTGCACGACGATCAGATGTACTTGTAAAACCAAAAAATATATAGCTATGATTGATGAATATGAAAAAGAAGAGAGACAATTAGAAATTCCGGTTTGAAAGGGCCAAAGGCGAAAATATCACATCTAATTCCTGTTAAAAGAGACAGAACAATCTTGACATTTATATTTGTAAATCAAATAGTACAGTCTTGTTTTTACATTGATACTGGTTCAGGTAGTATGTACATAGGGATTCCTCCAAACAGTATTGAGAGAGAATAAAAACAAATTTTGAGAAGCTTAATTGATGTCTGTTTGGAATGTTATAAATTGTTTATTTTATTGTATTTATAATTATTATAAAAAATACATATTTTCTCGTTATCTTGCTTTATAAATCCCATGAAGGGAGGAKGATAATTTACCAATTATCTTTATTGAAAAAARTTTAAGCTAGTTCCAAAAAATTAGAACACTCAGTTGTCAATGTCAATGCCAACAAAACACTCAGCATTGTTAACCTAATTACAACTGCAGTAAAATATTTCAATCAGATCTAAATTCACAGTTTTGTCAATGGTTTCAACAAAATATAGTAATTAGCATCAATAATAAAAATAATTACCACTTCTTTAAGTTGAACTGTTCAATTGCAGATAATAGTGTGTATTAGATAGTATTGAATGATGCAATGATCAATATGTTTTAAATATATTGATGCAAATGGATCAGGGTGTTGATTATATAATTTTGGTAAAGGTATGTAATAGGTATGTCAAATAACCCTGATATGTAACTGGTATGTATAATTCACAAGTGTGTCATATGGTATGCATAAGGTATGTAATAGTAAGTATGTATTTGGTATGTAGATTGACTGCTGTTATTTTGGTATTTAAGTGGTATGTTGAGTATGGTATGTATTTGGTATGGTAAAATTCTACATACCTAAACCATACCAAGAAAAAGTCAGACATACCAAAAACATAGCTTCTACATACCATATACATACTTTCAATTTCGTGTGGGTTGTGTATTACTGAGCAGATTGACCAGGAAATGTCATAGCACTATTTCTTTAAATCACCCAATATAATGATATAGGTTAATGGTCAGACTTTTTGATAGATATAAGATAAATTTACAAATTGTATTCCAATGTGCCCTTCCGGTTATTACCATAGTGACTTTATGGCAGCTCCTGAACTTGGGACAAAGGATGTACGGTTACACATTATGGAAGGGATTTTACAACTGTATGACATTGTGAATCCTCTTTCTAGAAATTATTCACAATATTTCACAATAGTTGTAGCTAGAATGTACATGGTTAAAACTAAAAGGAAAAACAACCTAGTATCATGTCTCCATCCTCCATGTTATAAAATGTTTATAATAATGAAGAACTCAAAAGAAGCAAGCCTAGGAACACAAGGACAGAAAGTTTTTTACTTGCTGCTTGAATGCTCTCAATCACCCACTGTGTTAAGATCAGAGGACTTACACAGGACGAAATTAGATCTTTAAACAAGCTTAAAGGCATGTTAAAGCGATGTTAAAGGTGCATTTAATCATCTTTACGTTGAAAATGTAAAGATGAGAAAGGTAACTTTAGACACCTTTAAATCCACACACAATGGTCCGTAGTGGAGGCTTTACGGCAATAGGGGAATGCTGTTGAATGGGGTTTCATGATGTCTTTACACATGTCTTTAATTATTCCGTAAATGTGATTAGTGACCTTTTAATCACCTTTATTCTGTGGTGTAAAGGTATGAATAAACATATCTTTAAAGTCCTTAAATCAATGTATAATTAGAACGAAATATATCTTTAAACTTCTTTAAATCTATTTATAAATGGGAGAAGACGTTTTCACCTTTAAACTAGCATAAAGATGTGTTAAAGGTATATTACCGGTGCACTTAATCAGCTTTATGTTGAAAATCTAAAGTGATAGAGGTATATCTATTCACCTATAAATCTAATCACAGCTCGTAAATGAGCAATTAAACGTACATTGATATCTTTCAAATCTAGTTTTAATTGCTGTATATAATTTCATATAGTAGTGTTGCCTGTTATTAACATAGAAATAAAAAGTCTAACATTGAAACTCCAAAGGATGCATTGTATATGAGTATAATACAAATGATTATGTCAATAATTCATGAAATATATAAATTTCATTTGTAATAAAAGCATTTTTAACATTTTAAGTACATTTCGAGGAATGAAACTGCCATGAAGTTAATCGGCTTTTAACGTCAAACGAAATGTGCAATTTGTTTAAAATAGCTGAAATGATTCAACTAATACGTGTATGAACATCGTGACTATATATTCAAGAGCATTTGCGATTTAAAAATTGCAAATTTTGCTGTTAAGTTATGAGCAACAAAAATTGATTGATATTATGACAATTACAGATCAGTACTTGTTAAGGCAGTAACAAGAAATATTCTCAGCTCATTAAAATTGCAATAATAGATAAAAAGGGTATAAGTAATAATAATAATAACGTTAATTTTTAAAGCGCTTATACAGCTCAGATCAAAGCGCTGAGGAAAAAAAATTACAGATGAAGGCTCTTTGCACGTCTTTCAAGTTTCTATAAAACATATAGAGAAATTAGAAATCAGTTGTATAATAAACAGCATTGAATAAACTAACTATTAACACAGGTTCTATGTAATCGTTAAACTTCATTTTTATTACCTCTCTTTTCCTATTCTGCCATCTGCACGTCTTGATGTGAGCGATGTTGGTATTATTCTGGCATATAGAATAGATAGATAAATTAATTAAGTATACTACAATTGGTATATGAAATATATGGATATGTTTTAGAAAGAGACTAAACGATCAGATAATAAATCTGTATAATTTTGGCCAACCGGATGAATATTCTTTTATAAGTTAGAGTACTAGTAATTAACTAGTAATAGTGCTGGAGTGGTTTTCATGAAAATCCCATGAAGCACATTTTAGCTTACTACATTTTATTACTCTTTCTTTTGTACGTTTTTCTTTGTCGTATATATTTATATCATACTTTCACTATTACACTTTGTTTCACGGGTTCACGTTTCCAGTCTTCAAATAAGCGTACAACCCAATTGTTTTTGTAGCGGGTGGATATAGGAACAGCATTAGCAAATTTATTGGCCTCTTCTTTTTCGTTTTCTGAAAGCGCTTTAGAGGAGGTTCAAAATCTAGATCTTCTCTTTCAGTCTCCGCCATGCTTGTCGTCTAGTTAATGACTGAAATGTTCTTAACAAAGCAAATGATTAAGAATGAAAATACTAGCTGAATTCAAAAGTATCATTATTATGTAAATTCCAATCTAACATACTATGATCCCATGATCGGCTAATGCCTCGGACTGGAACTAATTGCGCGGACTTGAAATCCCGTCCAGTCCTCATGTCGGACTTTAAACATTACATCACTCATGGCTTGTCGTGAATATAGAATTCTAGTTTCATCTCTCATGTTTAAATCTCTCTTGTTTAAATCTCTCTTATAGAACACTCAGGCTACTTACTTACAGCTGTTACTGAGTATCATAATCAGTGATCACATAATTGACAATATTGTATTATTGAGAAGGTGTAATTATAATTATGAAATTATTGTTATTATTATACATGTTATTTCAGTGTCTAATACATTTATCCATTCATACCTTCATATGATGTGCTTAAATTGCCTTCAAGTGACGAGACAAATTCAAATTCCTCGTAGTGCGCGAACACAACAGGAAAAATAATGGTATGGGCGGGAGGGTAGGGCATGTCAGTCCTTGGTCACTACTCTTTATGAGATACCAGTCTCGTTTAACTTCCTAATTCTAATCTCATAAACGTGACCATCGGACTGACATGAAGACGTCAAAGTGTGAGAGAGCACTATGAGCTCAATGTAGCACTACCCAAATTACTACAGTATACACCCTCCAAAATATTTACTGGTCAATAAATTACTAATTTTTCTGTAAATCTGCATTAAGGAATGTATTATCTCTTGGACTGCTAGATTGAGCAAAAAATAGCAACAAAATAACAATCTTTATAGGGACAGTTAGTTTAAGTCAAGTACATGTTTGTAATAGAACTTCTTAAAGGTATCTGCATTTTCTCCATCCAGCTTTCTTAAGTATATTGTCTAAGTATATCGTTCCTGCTTGAAAAGCTGCTGTTGACGCTGCATGTCTAGTTGAATGAGGTCTAAAGATACTAACATCAACACCACTCCTCTGTAAAACAGTTTTTATCCATCTGGCTAGGGTTTGACAACCAATAGCTTTATGGGGCTTTATGAATGAAATTAACAGGTAGCATTCATGTTGAAGACTTTCTGTACGTTTGATATATTCCTCTAGACACGCAAGAGGACAGATCTCACTATGCAAAGAGTACCTAGGAATTACTACTGGGGGTACTGGATAACCTGGTCGGCTTTGTTTGACATGACCATCAAGCACAAAAATAAACTCATCTTTTGTTTTCTTTAAACAATCCTCATTTACCTTCAGCTGGAGGAGAGTTTGTTTCCTCTGAATGGAAACCAACGCCAACAGCATAGCCAATTTTGACGAAAGGCTCTTTAGAGAGATGACCTTGTTGGGATTATATCCTTTTAACCCTTTGATAACGGGTGTTTATTTGTTGATTTTGGAGCATTTTCGACTATAAAAAGATGATGGAATATTTGACTTCCATATAAGGTGTTGTCAATCAAACTTTTGGGGACTTATCTCTCTTGAAGTGCTCTCTTTGGAGTGACTTTGGTCTTCAGAGCCAGGCATTTACCTGTCGGAAGAGGAGGACATAACGTCAACTCAAGACGTAAACAAAATGGCCGACGCTTGAATGCCATGTGGCCGACGAATGCCTTGGCGAGATCATTCTAGGTGAATTTATTCATTGTGACTCATACAGAATTCACTTCACCTTGTCCTCTTGAGTATTCGAGATATACTTACCTAACGTTTAGCCCAAATTCACAAAATATCAGGTCACTCGGGGTTCGGTTCTTTGGACTCTTACACAACACGTCTACTCCCGATGAAATCTAAGAACATCATCGATCACTCATCATATTTTATTTTCCAAAAAGCATGATACCAAAGATTACCTTCAAGACTTTTCGATTTTCTTTTTTCCTTTTTTTTTCTCAATACTACTGTATACATCGTGTCTTGATTTTCACTATCAGTAGAAGCAACTGAAATAATAGAAGTAATAAAAAAACTAACATTGGTTACACTTCTTAAACGGATTTTCCGAGGGATTTCCTTAATTTACCAAGGTAAAAGACCCCAGTGTAACCGCTATGAATGTCAACATCGGTAGATAGATGCTCAAGGTCATTGACCCCAGTGTTAATGATAATACCATATTTTACCTTGAACCGTGTTGTTCATAAAATTTCTATCGCCTTTATCAGTAGTGTTACAGGGTATGATCTTTTTTTTACCTTCTGGGTATAGATTGTCGGCAATTAAGAATTTTCTGTTCAGTCATATACCTCGTTTGAATTCTTCTTACTGGGAGACTCGTTACTAGCCTGTACATTAGTATTTGTAGCTGACGCTTTAGCCATAGAATAATTCTCTTTAGCATTCGTTAGCTTTGAATCTTTGGATATTTCTTCTTCAACCGAACGTGAACTGTCACTGTCACTTTGTAAGGAAATTTCACATTCTGTTATATGATTACTAAAGGATTGCAATTTAGCAGATAAACAATTATTCGACAAGGCACCTTGGAAACGTTTGGGATCATCTTCGATGCATTTCATACGGACATCATGAAAATTAGTATTATGATCTTAATAAACTTTCAACTCATGATTAAAACGAGACTATAAAGTTGAGGATATATTTTCTTCCATAGAACAGTAATGGCGATCAATTGAGACCATAGCCTTATCAATACAAACGGCCACCTCTTATCTTTGTTATCTTTATCAACGAGATTAGCAGAAGTAGAAGACTTTTCGCAACTTTTTACTGACTGAAATTATTTTAGTAGAAGTAGATCTACGTGGTTTAACACATAACTTCTTAAGAATGTGGTGATTAGCTTTTTTAACACTTCAAACATGCATACTAGAAATATCACATCCACCAGCAACGACATCAGCCAAAACATGTAAAGATACTTCTAATAGATTCAACTTGGACGAGGAAATGAGGTCATCGCTGTCAGCGCCTTCATAAAAAATGTCACTGTACATGCAATTTATATCATCGTGGGTCGGAGCAATAGCTGAACATAAACTGTATCTTCCATCTTTCATTTATTTTTTGATAATGGCGTAGCTAGTTGGGATGTCTTTTGCATGCTGGGAAATTTTTGTCCATGCTTCTTGCGATATATTGAACTTGTTCTTTATGTAAATCCACATGTTTTTTAAAAGGGTTTCAATGTCTCGATCAGTCATTTCAATTTCTTTGGATTTTCATCAATCAAGTCAAAGGTTTCATAACTACATCTTTCAGGGTTAAATACAGTAATTTATGTTGCAATGAAATTATGTAGCCCAGCGAGATTAGTGATGCATTCTTCGTTTATGTGCTTTCTCAACCTTTTCTTGTGTCGTTTACTGTATTCATGAATTTTTTTCTTTGATGGAGCTCTCCTCCCATTTTTATTTCTTCCATTTTCATGACTTTTTTGCAATTTGTTTAAACTTTTCTTTGTAAAAACCTTTTTGCTTAGTTAGTTTTTTCTAAGGCTTTTTTTTAAATATATTTTTTTAAACATATTTTCCTCCAAACGCAATCGCTTTACTTTCTCGTCGTTTACTCACGTTTCTAAAGATCTTTTGTGCCCTCTTAATTGGTTAACTTCCAGCTCATTATAAAATATTTTGAATTCATATTCATTCCCTGAAGCCCATAGTGATTTAAGTTTTTTAATGCATTTCCTCCACCTTTTCTTGTGACTTCCTTTGCTTTTCTTCAAAATCTGTAAAAATCTGTATATTTGGGCCTCTATCGAATTTCTGATTCTACTATTGATCGGTATATTTCTGATTCCCGATTCCTTTAATATAGTTTCTACTGTACGGCTCAAAACAGACTTTTCTCCTGTTTTCTTTTCTAAATCTTTGGATATGTTATGAATGAAGAGGCTGAAAAGAGAATAACAAAAGAATAACGTCATTAGAAAAGCCAAAAGCTTTCTTGTTTATTTGGTGAAAAAGGTGCGGAAAATCTCTCTGGACTCTTCGCCAATAGCTTCTACTTCAATCGCCATCACAAGAATAATCAAAGCCACAGCATGCAATACAGTTCTCATATTCATTAATTATTCATGAGGTATTCAGCCAATCCCTGATTGTAATTTACCACGTGAAGTAACTTGAAACCAGTGGAAGTACTCTTACCTTATTTCCAGTTACTTATACCTCTTTCAGGTTACTTCTACATTATTTACAGCTATTTCTACCTTATTTCCAGTTACTTCTACCATATTTCCAAGTACTACTAGCTAATGATAATCAAATTGTTAGAAATAATCAGTTTAACATTAATTTAGTGGAAAAAGGTCTTTGATAAATGGAGAAGGGTTTGTCGTACGACTTCCTTATATGGTTGTGCATGTACAGCGCTGATGTGCACATAGAAGGCGCTGATGTGCTCTTAGAAGCCTCTGATGTCCCAATTATGTGGAGAAGAACTTGGAAAATTTCAACACTTAAACTTAAACCTAAAAGAAATTTTTGAAGAACGAATACTAAGATTCGAACCAGCGCTATGCATTGCCTAACCCGATATATTCCCTAAACCTAAGCATTAAGCCACGAGACCAATTCGCTTGAGTGAACCTGAAATTTTGTGATATTTATGCAAAGGCATGCATGAATAACCACTCATATGTAGATAAGATTGAATATATAATTAATGAACCATCTATAGGGACATGAGAGCCTTCTATAGGTACATTACAGCCATGCATATGGACATCCATATGTGGAAGTCATACGACAACCTCTACTCGGTACATGACTCCCTCACGACTCGATCCCTTACCGTCCAGTTTATATGCGCCGTCTTATACCATTAAACCACCGAGTTTCTGATGCAATTGCTCGAAAGATAACGCACTTATAAATCTTATGGATTAGGCTCATTAGAGCAGATTAGTGATGAAATTAGGCAGCAACAACAGCAAATACAATCACCGAGCAATCTAGCCACAACACAAAGAAATACATCGACAAATTCAAGTCTTGATTCAACATCAAGAACAGTCCAAGACCAACATTCAAATCACTTACCAACAGAACAATCTGACCATGAAAATGTAAACACTGTTAACATGATCAGGAGTATCTCAGTTTATTTAAAATTGCTCAAGACATCTATGATAAAATCAAATGCGAGCCAGGCAACTGGAGCAACAGATAAGAGAATACATTCACGAGGAAAAGACCAAATATAGATCAAACAAACAAGCTTCAAAACATTGTAAAACAACTAATTAATGCTGATCCAGCAGCAGATCCAGAGCTATTCCTATGGGAGTGTAATTGTGCGATCTATGCAACAGCAGTTTCTTACAAACTTACTACAACAGAAAACAAAAGGACGAGCACGCGACAAACAAAGGTTCCGAAGTGGCAAAGAATTCTCGACGAAAAGATTACGAAACTAAGAAGAGAAGCATCTCAGATCACAGAAGAGATTATACGGATAAAGAACAACAGGAAGATAACAACTAAAACCAGGAGAAATRGAAAGTGGATAAGTRGAGAAATCAAAGGAAAACTGGACATGAAAGCTCTAGTAACACTGAAAGAAAAGAAGGTGAACATGATTAGAATCGCGAAAAAAGAAAGAGATAACAAAAAAGTATCTGAAAAGAGAAGAAAAATTAACCATCTGTTTGATCAAGACCAAAGTAAGTTCTATGGACATTTGAAAACGATCCTGTCACATAACAGCGAGAATGACTTCCCAAGATTCAAAGATTTTGACAAAACTGAAAAAAGTTACATTTCAATCAAGAAAGAAGAATTTGAGGAATTCTGGATTCCAATATGGCAGAATGAACACCAGCAGGACATACATGACACAAACTGGGTAACAGAAGTACGTGAGGCGCTAAAAGTTGGCAGACCGGAACAACAGGAAACACAGATACTTGTGACAAAGAAGATGGTAACTAAATGCATGAGAAAGAAAAAGAATTGGTCGTCACCGGGGCTAGATATGATTACTAATTACTGGCTGAAACTATTGTCATCAACCCACAGTTTAATATCTATCGCAATCACGAATATGATTAATAAAGACCAAGACGCCGTAATTCCCGACTGGATCTCCGAAGGACGGACGAGAATGTTACCTAAGAAAGACAGCCCTACAAGTGCACAGGACTTTAGACCCATAACCTGTCTAAACACTATGTACAAACTAATTACGTCAATTATTAACAACCAACTACAAGAACACTTGACTAAATACAACCTCATGCAACTCGACCAGAGAGGGGGAGTCAAAGGCTCAATGGGTTGTGTCGATAATCTCTTGATAGATAAAGCAATACTAGAGGATGCTACTAAAAACAAGAAAAACCTTTCCTGTCTGTGGGTGGACGTCAAGAAAGCCTTGGACAGTGTGCCCCATATGTAGTTACTTACAGTCCTACAAGATCATGGAGTAAATAAAAGACTCTTTTATAAATGCAATTATCAAGACCTGGAGAACAACGCTCTATGTACAAACAGCAGAAGGGCAAATAACAATCGGTCCAGTAAACATAAACCGCGGAATACTACAAGGAGACTCTTTTTGTGTGACACTATTCACCCTCTGTCTCAATCCCATCGCTTGGTACTTGCGATCCACTGAAGGCTACACGCTCTCTCACGACAAGACCATCAAAATAACACACAGCTTATTTGTAGATGACTTGAAGACCTACCACAAGAATAAGACCAAAGCAGCGATAGTTGGAAGTACCTTAGAGGAAATGTATAAGAATACAGGACTAGAATGGGGAATTAGTAAATGCGCCGCTGTACACATCAAGAGAGGAAAGCAAGAAGTATGTCARGAACTCCCTCTGACCAGTGGACAGAAAATACCAGTCCTTGGAGAAGACKACTACTACAAATTTCTCGGGAAATTTGAAAATACAACGCAACTASAACATRAAATCCAGAAAATGGCAGGTCGCGAGTACCTAAGACGACTTTCTGTGATATGGTCATCACCACTATCAATACCTCGAAAGATCACAGCCACAAACCTTTTTGCAATGCCAGTTCTCTTGTACCATATGTGGACAACCGAATGGAATATCCAACACCTGCAAGAGCTTGACAGAAAAACACGGGCAATCGTGAACGAAAATCGTTGCAAACATCATCATGAGTCGAAAGCTATACTCTACCTCCCATGTCACAAAGGAGGCAAAGGTCTTCAACAGATAGAAATGTTGTACAARGTAACTAAGATGAAGACAGCCCACTACATAACAACTAGCACAGACCCACATGTTAAAATGGTCGCCACTTTCCAACAGTACAAGGAAGCGAAATCATTAAGATCAATCATAAAAGATGCCAAGATATATGCTGACCAACTAAACCTAGACGTAAATTACAACATAACTGAACGCTCTACTACCATCAAATCAGATGAAGCAACAACAAAGATCACCAAGTGCCAACCAAGACACATAAAGCCAGTATTAAAGAAAGAAGCTGAAAGTAAGTTAGAAAAAGAAGTGAATCAGCAACCGTGGATAGGCCAGTACCTAGTTAGGCAATGGCATAATAAGGAACTTGAACGAAAGTTATAACATCCCTAAGATATGGAAGAATCTGTGAAGGTTTTGAAACAGTTATTTATGTTAAAAAGGCTTTCCAAGAAAGCTTTTCTTATAATAACCATTTCGTTGTTATTGCATGACATTAAGTAATGAAATTCGTTACCAACCGCGTTTAAGTCACAAAGGTGACAAAAACGCTGTTCGTAACGAATTCCATTATATCTACCTGACTCAACAGGTAGTTTGTGAGCAGAAATCCTTAATTCTGTTACTGCTTTCCTATGGTTAACATTTGTAATCTTTGTAAATAATTCTCAAAATTTACATCATGTTTGACTTGTTTGAAGAAAAATAATTTCCCATGGCCTGTTGAGCTATTATTTACCTTATTTGACCAAAATTCAGAAAAGCATTTGTGAGTATTTTCTTTTAAGATTGAAAGAAACTCTTTGATTTTTTCATTACATAGAAAGACTCCAAAACTCCTACAGAACATTTAATATTTTCGTTACTTATCGAATCTCCCGCATTTGATTTTTTACTTTTCACTTTCTTTGCGGTTTCGAAAATTTCTTCTCCTGATATAGGTTTATCTAGGATACCATTATAAATAGACGACCAAAAGTCAAAATGTTTCACAATATGAGATTCATAGCTGCCTTCACTAGCATTTGAACAATTGAGCTTGTTGAGATTTTTGAAATAATCATACCATTCAGCTGGCGAGACATCATTTGATGCACCTAAAGACTTGCTTTCTTTAATAGAATTAACTAAATTCCAAAACTCAGAAGGATTTGATTCCTCCATCAAACGTATCTTATCAAGGAAATCACTATGAAACTTCCTTTTTAACTCGGAGATTGCGTCAGCAATCGTAGAGTTATTGGGAGGGGACAAGCTGTCACTCGCTCGCTCGCTCGCTCGCTCGATCACTTTCCTGTAAACTTGAGCCTGCGATGTTTTTGTCAGCGGTTATTTATTTAATCATATTAATTATATTAAT